GTGTATGCTCTGAAGCGACAGGGACGCACTCTGTACGGCTTCGGCGGCTAAACTCTAAATCACACGTTGATTATAAACTAAAGGCCCTTTTAAGGGCCACACACTTACTCAATAGAGAGCTGGCTTCCTGTTACAAACGATAGTTATTTGTAACATTGTATCTTTAACAGCATCATACTCGGAGAAGTGAACGCTGCTTCATATGTTCTGGTGCAGATGTTCAAGATATAGCTCAGGTTCAAGTCTTTATTGCTGTTATCAAATAATGAAACTTGTAGATGCTTTGACTAATTTATTTCTGCATGAACTGTCATCTGGAAAAATACAATTATAGGAAGTGTGGGTCTGTAATATTCTCAGTTTAACCTGAAATAGGGGGGGGAACTGCTTAAATGAGGAGCCACGGTGACGCATTTGTCAGACACTTATAACCTGTAAGTCCTTAACTGACACATACTGAACATCCTGGTGAGGTCATGTGACTGTTCATTTGTGTACCAATGACATCACATCCAAAATGGCTTCCTGGCTGGTCTTAATGCTTTGATAATATGTCCTACATTATATCTCAACTCCATGTTTATCAAACTAATTTGTCTGAAAAGTTATGGGAATATTGTGACAGGTAAGTCGCATCAGGCTTTTAAACTTATTGTCTCAGAAAAACCAAAGTGACATATTTGTCATTATAGTAATGAGCTGCTCAATTGATTTAACTGATTCAATTATTTTAATCAAAATATGTTCTGTTGAATTCAAAAGCCATTTAAACAAAAAAAAAAGTATATTCAACTTAATTATGGAAGAAAAATGTACATATCAGTAAATAAAACACAAGATGAAGATCATCGAAGGAGAAGACATTTTCGTCTTGTAAAACAAATCTGAAACTGATTTTCTGGTTAAATAACCATAAAAGTTATAGTTTAGATGTGTTGTGGAAATGCAAATAAAAAATCATATCTTTGCTACCAATCAAAAAATAGGCCACATTGATTAGTTTTTAAATGAGCAAAACATCTATACGTGAATGCCAATGTGACATATGTTACATTTCGGATCTCTGGCACTAGGGGTTAATATTTAAAACGTATGAAAAAATATATCTTCCATGTGGTCCATTTAGTCTGTTTTATATCCCCTATAATATTCCTTTAAGGAAACATGGGTTTGGGTTCTTGTGGATTAACGTCACGTAACTAAAAATGTAGTGAAAGAGAACAACAAAACGTGTCGGATAACTAATTATCATTATGACAAACATGTGCTTCTAGACTGTTGCAGAGCTCAGAAGGTCTGGTCCAGGCTCCAAGGCCTTGGTCTGGAGTTTAATGTAAATGATCACTTTGTAATGTGGTCTGTTTCATCAGATGTCTGTCAAACAAAAGTAACATTTGCAACTCTGTATTGTAAGTTCCTTGTTCACTATGTACTTCACCATATGGATTTGCAAGACTTTTCCATAACAAACCATGTTATGGAAAATCATGTAAAACCTGGAATTATAAAGGGCTTATAATAATGCAACATTACACAATATACAGAATTAAATTGACATGTGGTGATTACTTAGATATTCTTCACTACACTCACCTTCACACTGCAGTGGTATGACTTCATTTCAGTGCCTTTAAGGCCAGAAGGTAACTAATGTAATGGAAACAAAGCTGTACAATAGAAACTATATATGAGTATCAGAACAGTTGGAACAACATAACTTATATTATATTATATTATATTACCATTACGTATCCTTGTACAACGGTTCAGATGATATTTTTATTTACTTATTTTCTACAAGAGTCCAGCAACCTGAAACCATTTATGGGTTTTACATGAATAGTCCTTTCAAACTAAACTTGTCTTCTCAGGCAACAACTTAATTAGGTTTAGACAACTAAACTACTTAGGTTTAGTAAAATATACTTGTACAATATATACAATAATCTTCATCATAAACACTCATCAAATACAACAAAAACCCACAATAAGAGAAAAAATACATCACACATTTACCCCAATAATAATAATATATTTATTTATTTAAATTATAAAGAGCCTTTAGATTCTTTATCTTAATGTTTTTATTATCTCAGATGTCATCATTTTCCACCAATCCTAGAAAACAAAACCTGACTTTCATTTTCTCTAAATCTGACTAAATCTTGCTGTATATTATTTATATTTTGTATTTACATAAACCTGCTGTTATAAGTGTGTGCAAACAGATAATAATAATCATTTATATACAGTATATTGAACGCTATAATATGGTGTTAAAATTAGTGACTTAAGGATTTACCAGGAAACTATCACAACTTATTTTTAAATGTTTGTGTTTAACATACTTTGTGTAACCTTGATACGAATATTTCTGTAAAGTTATTGATTTGAGATACTTATATAGACGATTACGAGAATAATAAAGGGAAGAATAACATGTGTAATATATTTAATCAAGTCCCGGTTTAATCGGTCAGCCTTTATTGTGCAGGAGTTGAAAAAACGAAACTCTGGTGGTAAAAAAGGAAATTAATTTCAACTCTTCTCTGATTGGACAATCACAGACACGCTCTCTTTGGCCAATCAGAGAGCAGCTTGTTTATTATAAATACCCGGTTCCTCCACCATTAGGACACATTTCTCTCGCAGTTTAACGAAGAAATATATCAACTCCAAAATGTCTGGACGAGGAAAGACCGGCGGCAAGACCAGAGCGAAGGCCAAGACCAGGTCCTCTCGTGCCGGGCTTCAGTTCCCCGTCGGCCGTGTCCACAGACACTTGAGGAAGGGTAACTACGCCCATCGTGTCGGTGCCGGAGCTCCGGTATACCTGGCGGCGGTGCTAGAGTATCTGACCGCTGAGATCCTGGAGTTGGCTGGGAACGCTGCCCGCGACAACAAGAAGACTCGTATCATCCCCCGTCACCTGCAGCTGGCTGTCCGCAACGACGAGGAGCTCAACAAACTGCTGGGCGGAGTGACCATCGCTCAGGGCGGCGTGCTGCCCAACATCCAGGCGGTGCTGCTGCCCAAGAAGACCGAGAAGGCCGCCAAGAAGTAGACACCCGGAACCGGCTGACTAACAACACAAAGGCTCTTTTAAGAGCCACCCACATACAATTAAAGAAAGCGATTTAGTCCTACTTGTATATTAACAATACTGTATTACACTTCAGAGTGAGTCTAAATATATGCATTGCTTCATTTCAAATGGACTATGAGTTCACAAGAGGTTATTAAATAATATGGTAATATCCATGCTAACTATATTCTACATGACTGTAGAAAAAAATAAAACTACACCAGTCTATGAAATGAAAATAAAACTGGATGCTTCTTTCCATTTTTGTTTCAAATGTGAGTTCTCGATCGTTTCTGGATAGTATTTAACACAAGTTACATTACAACTTTTATCTCTAATAATTAAAAAACTGATTATCACCAAACTTGTAAACCTGAATACAAACATTGTTTATAGAAAATAATGTTTGTCAGCAAAACAAAACAGACAAATGTCTTGTTTATTATTAAAATTAGTAAATAATAATGAAAAAGGATGCGGGACGGACCGATGACTTTCAGCCCCGCCCACTCAAGTGTTTCCACTAGTCCTCTATTACGTCCTCAGATGTCAAATACAGCCGCTCGTTCCTCTCTCGTCTCATTCATCTGTGACGATCCAATATCAGCTGACATCAGCTGGTCGGAAAGGGAGGACTTTATGTCTCCACGCACAGTCATTCATCAATACTCCTCAAATATTTAAATAAACTTTTAAGCTTCACATATATAATTCAGATAAATGTGTTAAAACAGAGATAAATAAATATGAACAGTTTCTATTTTTGTTAAGATGTCTGGAATAAATTCTGTTTAACAAGCTGAAGACATTTGAACGTTATAAAACTGGTTAAATGAGACGAATAAACATCCAGAACACCAGCCCTTAAACATTTAGTCATTTATTACAAGTTTACAAAATGTTTAAATACACAAACACAAATGATACACATAATGAATACAAATAAAGTAATTTCATTGGACTTTTAATACATTAACTTGAATGTAAATTGTTATACATTTGAATTCGATGTATGAAAAGTACTTTTACGCTGAAGTTCAAATGACACAAAGAGTCCAATATAAGTCTAAGAATGAAATAACGATCAATGTAGGTGGAAGAGAATCATCAATTAATAAGTTCAACAAACTTTTATCTTCAGAAAATACATCTTTCCTTCTCTAATAATAAAGGTTAAAGTGCTGAAACTTACTCCCAACCATTCATTTTATATAACAACAACATAATTTGTTTAATAATAATATAAACGTAATCTCCGGTAGAACCGGTCGGCTTCATAGCCACGTGCTCGCTCTCATAACCAACTAGCCAATCCTGTGCGAGCGACAGCACAGTCTCATTAGCATCAGGGGCAAATATATTCAGCGACGGAGCGACAGGGAGTCATCAGTTTGAGTGTCTCTTGAAGCACATCAACAATGCCGGAAACCGTGAAAGCGCCCAAGAAGGGCTCCAAGAAAGCTGTCTCTAAGACTGCGGCCAAGACCGGCAAGAAGAGGCGTAAGAGCAGGAAGGAGAGCTATGCCATCTACGTGTACAAGGTGATGAAGCAGGTCCACCCTGATACCGGCATCTCCTCCAAGGCCATGGGCATCATGAACTGCTTTGTGAGCGACATCTTTGAGCGCATCGCCGGTGAGGCCTCTCGTCTGGCTCACTACAACAAGCGCTCCACCATCACTTCCAGGGAGATCCAGACCGCTGTCCGCCTGCTGCTGCCCGGTGAGCTGGCCAAGCACGCCGTGTCTGAGGGAACCAAGGCTGTGACCAAGTACACCAGCTCCAAGTAAACACCTGATGGAGACCAACAACACAAAGGCTCTTTTAAGAGCCACCCACTTCATCTAAAGAATAACTCCTGTTGTGTTCAAACTTGAATCTGTTGTTGAAGTGCCACATTTACTGTTTGGGTCCAGTAGCAGATACTGACCTGCACTACATCTGTGTCATGTATTAGTTTGGCTATCCTGGTAGAGGGAACCCGAAGATCTATTGTATTATTTTGTCAACTTTGAAATGTAACATATGGACAACCTGCAGAATTAAAAGCACCTGTATGGCTATCAGCAGGGTTTTATAAACTGCTTTTGATGAGGTTAAAAATAAAATACCATATACATTATTTTGGTGAATTTACAACTAAATATCTAAACTGAACTCACTAAAATCATATCTGAAAACCTTTGTGATACAGTTTGGCTGATCTCTGTAAACAGACTTCCTGCAGAGCGGTAGTTCAGTGGAGCTTGGAGCTGCCATGTGATCACTATATCTATCTATCTATATATCTAGTTTTTTTTTTTTTTTTTTTTCCCCCAAACATGAATCTGTCCATTATTTTAACAGTTCAGTATCGTATGCATGATAACAGGTATGTTTATGCATGGCAGTGGCACTAATAGGCCATCACTCATTTTCATTTCCACATTTGTTTCAAAATGGAAACGTCAATTTGAATAGTTTGTGTGCATGATTATCATGCAATTGACAGACGATGTTGACAAGGTATGTTTCTAAATGGCAGTGGCACGGCCATACTCACTGTACCTTGCACATGTTTAAAATAAAAACATGAATATATGAACCTGTGTATTATTTGAATAGCTTAGTATTAAATGCACAATAGAGGTATGTTTATACATGGCGCTAGGCCCAGTTTAATATAAACACAATTTTATACAATATATATAGTCGGGGGTCCCTGCTCCATCTCTCTATCAGTTTGGGGGTCCTTGGCCTGAAAAACGTTGAAGACCCCTGAATTAGATGATGACAGTGGCCTGGACAAATATATTTGACTGTGTGGCATCAGATTTAAGGGGGAGAAAAGCACTAAGAAACTAGTACAACAGACAGCATACTAAAGTACTGTCTGCCAACATGTCTACATTGAGTTACAGGATGGTCCTTGATGTTGTACTTTGGTTCAATTTTTAAGTACCACACGTTTCACTCTTGCTCGTAGGAGGTGTCCCTGATTTAGGCTTTTGTTCAGCAGGTGGCGCTGATGAGGCAAAGAGATAATTATTGTACTGTAATTAAAATCCAAAGAAGACTAAAAGCCCAGGCTCTGTCTTCTATCACGTCCTCAGGCAGGGTTTAAATAACTGGGAACCAAACAGCGAACATTCTTCAGTTGTGAGATTCTGACTAGTGAAAATGAGCGGAAGAGGAAAAGGAGGGAAAGGACTCGGTAAAGGAGGCGCTAAGCGTCACCGTAAAGTGCTCCGTGATAACATCCAGGGAATCACCAAGCCCGCTATCCGCCGTCTGGCTCGCCGTGGTGGAGTGAAGCGTATCTCCGGTCTGATCTATGAGGAGACCCGCGGTGTGTTGAAGGTCTTCCTGGAGAACGTGATCCGTGATGCCGTCACCTACACCGAGCATGCCAAGAGGAAGACGGTGACCGCCATGGATGTGGTGTATGCTCTGAA